GATATGGACTATTGTTTGGGTTTGGATTTGGGGATTTATGGGTACAAAGGTTGTAAACAATTTGGGGTGAAAGGTTTAAACAAAGGAGAGGAAGCAAGAGGAAAGACAGTGACGAAATGTTGGGGTAAATCCACTCAATGTTAGAGAGAGAGAGAAGCTCTTCTCTCAAGAGAGCCTGGTTGATGTTTGTTGTTTTATATTGATTGTTATTGTTATGGTCAATGAACAAGTAATCTAATAATAATCTTCTTTTCTGAAACAGATGTTCTAGATTTGAGTCATTGGATATGGGTGGCAATGTTTGTATTATACATTAAATATTTGGATTATACTTTATGATGTTATTACTGTTATATTTGCAAGGTAAATCAACATATTCATCCACAAACAAGTAAAATGGAACTTTTAACTGTTTCGTGTTCAATTGTCTGGGCAGAGAAAGGCTGCAATGAGAAATCTGAAGGCTGGCTTCCGAAGGCTGAAAGCAGAGATGCAAGAGATCGATGAGGATCAACGAAGTATCAAGGAAGGACAAAAACAAGTCAGAGAAAAACTTGAAGCCATTGAAGCTGAATGTGCGCAACTCAGGAAGGATACAGACCTCATGATCAGGCAGAGTGCTGCGAGCAAGCTTAATCTGTGTCTCATGTTCAAAATCCTTAAGGCTCGTGAAGAAGGCGATTTTCTTAAGGCCACCCAGCTTGCTCAATTGCTTCGGTTGGTTTAGTTCCTCAATCCTCACCTTGTTCATTTTGCTTTTCCATGGTAAAGTTAGAGGGAAATTCTGCTTGACTTTTTCCTTTTTTGCTATCTATTTGCAGCACAATATTGACCAGGCAGAACGAGCAAAGGCAGGGATCTATATAATGGGACAGATGAGGAAAATTTCTCAGTCGGATTAAGCTAGCTATTATTATGTTTTATCTGGTGATACCATATGCTGTATGGTGCTTGTTATCGTTAAACTTTGTTTTTCATTTCAAGTTTTAATGTTTTGAATGGTGAATTTAATATATGTTGAACTCTATGCATAGGTGTCATATCAGAATGATTTACTGCTTTAAAACGCCAAGGAGGGTTATCTCTAGTCTTTCCAGTACAGAATGCATGATACGATATACATATTTTAAATGTTAATTAAATTTCATTTGAATGAACTTTCTCAAGCAACAAATTTCATCATTTTGTTGGAAACGCTACAAACTTCTCACGAATTTGCAGCTATGGTCCACTGCGAAGTTACGTATTTTCATGCAACAAAGCTGTAGAACTTTTCTGGCGAACATTCTGATGAGGATGGAGTCATGGAGATGATCTCTCGAACTTTCACTGATGTGGAGTGAGAAATGTGAACATGGTTAAGAATTCTTGATAAAGAATAAAACTATGGCGTGGGTTTATCTTTGTTTAATTTTAATAATGTTGACTACATGTACCTTTTATCAGCGGAGATAATGGCCTGAATTGAGTCTCAATTAAAAATATTTAACTACCCAAACATAATTTACATTTTCCAAACTTCTTGGAGGAACCCTTTACACCATGCTAGCTTTATATATAAGTTTTGAAAATGATGGGCATTATTATATTGTATAATTCATGTTAAAAGAAAAGGGAATATTTC